TCTTCACGCCGCCGCTCGCACGCAGCCTGCGCGCTGCGCAACAGAAAACCAATGGAATACAGGTAACCTCTACTTTCCGGCTACTGTCTTCAAGCTAATTTCATCTTACACTCGTGTTAGAATAATAAGTTTTTAAATTATGTACAATCGCGGAAATCCGCGGTGTTCCACTTCAGGAAAATTGCCTTGTTATAGCAGAGCCAAACTCCGCCTCTTCCTGCAAATAACTAGTTACATAGCAGTGATTGCAAACGAAGGGATAATGATAAAAAAGTTTTGTATCATTAACCGACTTTTTTTCGTACAGACACATAAGGTGCGTTGTATTGGTTTTTGTTAGGACTTATTTCAAAATGTTCAAACGATTGTAGCTTTTAAGGTGGAAGACCTCCAGTTTCCATAACTGTACATATGTCATGCGCTTTATTGTTTATTTGTGTTTTTTAGCATTTTAATGATCTAACATTGATTATTGGCTACTTAGATTGAAAATTCAAATATGTTTACTAAGTTACAAAATTCATTGGGCGGGGTCCATTCATCGATCAAATATCATTAAATTCGATTTTTATATAAGACGGTTTGTGGTAACATCAGCTATAGTGTTTATATATAGTGTGCGAATTTTTGTTCTCTCTAATTACTTTTGCTTGCATGCTCATTTTCATCAGTAGGGTATTTAATGTGATTTTCACAGTTATTAGTTTCCGTTATTGGGTTTTATTTAATTATATAGTTCACAGAGTATTGAAGCGAATAGTAATTTTTTTATTAAAATAGTAAATGATTTAAGTTTCTTATAGCATACCATAATCGATATATTTTCTTGATTCACGCATGCTTAGCTATACACATATTTTAGTAGTTTAGTTCACTGGCTAGTTTTTTTTCTAGATGGACAACAAAATAGTTCTCTGAAAGTGGCACTTGCTTCTTGCCTTTCGGTGTATATTGCTTGCCAATGATCAGGTAACTTTGACTTTTTTTTCTATCATCATCACCATCCTTGAATCTATCTTCCAAAATAATGTTGATAAAATGTTTTTTTTTTTTTTTAAAATTAGACATTGGCCACGTAAATTAAGCATATATATTTAGATTTGAATTTTGTCAGCTTTATTTTGGGCGTTAGAATAAGTTTTATATTGGTATATTTATTTAATTGGACTTACAGAGTGTTTTTTTTATTCTATATTCTACTTATTTATATTTTCATACTAGAAATAATTATTTTAATTAAGGTATTGTATCAAAATTGTTTTCTTATACATATAACAAGTGATAAGTTTCACGATGTGCATATTATTGTAAATAATAGAAATTAATTTCTAAAATAATAATGTAAAAATGTATTTCAGTGCAAATTACTGCAGCAGAGTGCTCCAGAAGATTAAACTCAAGAGAAATAAACCTGATTGGGTTATTAATGTGTTTGTGTAATTTATTTGCGTTCGTGATAAGTTATATTTCTTTCGGAATTCTAGATATTTTTAATATTCCGTGAATACAATTATATTAAGCCAGTTATCAAAAACAATCTTTTCACACATTTTAACCACATATGAGAATCATCACGGTATAATGACCGGAACGGGAAAAGTATTTTAATTAATTATTTCTAAACGAAATCACAAGCTGAAAGAAATATAATTTAAAATCATAAAATAAAAATAATTTGTACTTATGTTGACGTTGTATATTCATCAGAGGACATAACGTGAAGATTTGCGAGAAAGTGTTTGTAATGTCATCGACAAAATTTGTATGAGATTGGTTACTGCATAAATGTTACACACATTTTGTCTGTTGTTTCGAATATTTTCTAGCAAATTTTCGTTCCGGACCTCCAGTTCCTAATGTATTTAGTTTAACATTCCTAGAATGTATCTCGCAAGAATCGAATATTTTTTACAATTGTAAGTTAGGTGAATGGTTTTCATTTTATATTTTTTACTGTTTAGTTTTTTTAAATTATTTTTTAACTTTGTGCTTTTATCGGTGCTTCAAAAGCATTTTATATTTTTTGAAATGTTTTTCTTTAAATGTAGTTAGTAAGTATCCTAATACTAAACGGCGTAAAATACGCCTTCGTTCTTAAATTCGAAAAGGCGCATTTCTTCTTCGATTTCGAAGAATCCGAGACGGCGCATATCCAGTTAACCGAGTTATTAGGCCTTAGACATCATACAGACGGGCGATTTTTTAAAGTATCACGTTTAAAAGCGCTTCTGTATCAACAGATACAAGAGAATAAATTTGTCCCATTCCAACGTTTACTTAACGCGCGGTACAAAAGCGTAATCACGAGCCTTTAACCTTAGAATTCCACTGATGGGACTCTTATTCATCTTGTTATCTCTTTCATTAACTTTGATAACAGAGACGACATGTAATAAATAAAGTTAATGCAATTATAAAAGGTAGAACGTGTGCACACCTGACTAAACTATCGCACAACTGTTTAGTCGCGCTTTGATATGAGCTTATAT